GATTTGAGATGGGCTCTAACAGTCTTCCAAAGACCCCTGCTCACCCAGTGCCACCACAGAAAGTCATTTGAGAACAGTTGGCCACTGAGACAAGTGTTTGGGCCAGTCGGTAGGCCCCTTTAAGAGTAAATGGCAATTTTGAATGTCTGAATATACTTAATTTTTTGCACTGGGCAGATAGATTGATCAAACCTTCCAGAAGCAAATGAATAATAAAGAAGAAGGTCTTTGCAACCCTAGGGCCTGTCCTTTCATGTCTCCTTTAAGGCTCGTTTAAGCAGGGAAAAGCGGGGAGGGAGACAAGCAGAATGAGCTCTAAGCATGGGCTGTGGTAGAGAAATTCTGAGAACTCCACGTCTCTGAGCCTCCATTCTCTCTTCATTTGGCAATGGTAATGCTCCCCCCGACCCCGGTCCCCCCAAGGCCTCTGTAAAGAATGAGATGAAAATATGTTTACGGTTTTGGGGGGGGGCTGTGTCCTCCAGGCTCTGATCTGAACCCTGTTTCTCTCCTCTCTGGGCTCCCTTGCTGTGAAATGAGGGAATTAGAATATTTTTCCCCCTTCTCTCTATGGTCACGTTTGACACTAAATGCCATAATTCTTTTCTCTAAATGGAGGATTAGAGGCAACTTTTAGGAGATAAATGGATCATTATATTTAGCTATCCAGTCATTCAACAAATATTTAATGAGGATCCACCGTGTTTCAGCCACTGTACTAGGTAATGCATGTAGAATAACACACAAAATTCACAGTGCTAGGTAGTGCATACAAAATAGAAACCCCTGCTGTCATGGAACTTCTAGTCTAGTATCAGACTGTAAGGAGGAACTTCTTCATTCAGATATTTAAAGAAGTTCTGGGGCTCCAAGGAGAACATCGTTAACTAAAAGAACCATGTCAGGCATGTAGTAGGGGTTAAAATATTTGTTAAGTGAATAAATCAATACGAGCACCTTAAGGAAGCTCTTGTAGTGACCCTAGATTGGGAGCAGTTCTTGGAGTCCAGAAAGACTGTGGGAGCTCTGGCAAAGGGTGTGTATAATTGCTAAATTGTTTGTTGAGACACCTGTGGATGGGAAGATCTGCCTCTACCTGCCCAGTTCTCAAGGGGGCCACTTACTGGGAACAACAATGGCTTCATAAGCCAGGTCTTTTCCCCAGTGGGGAGCCAGTACAGATGCTGGGAACCAAGGGGAGAAGAGAAGAGTGGCCAGAGAAAGAGGCCAGTGTTAGTATAACATCTGGCCAAGCTGACGGGATGACCCTTAGAGGTTGTGGAGTCTCATCTGTGTCCTGTCACAGGGGAAAGTGAGGCCCAGATGGGATGTATGGCCACATGATAGTTGGCCCCAGACCATGGCCAGGAGGCTGCATGGGGAGGAGGAAAGAACCGGGGTTCAGGGGGTGGAGGACTGACTTGGGTGGCAAGGCTGCAGAGCCTTGGGCAAATCACTTAATCTCTCTGAACCAGCTTCCTCATCTGTTAAAAGGACATTGCAATGATGGCCCCTCTAAGATGTCATGAGGTATAATGTATCTTAGCCACCTAAAACCAGTACCTAATTGCTATTTATAATTTTTACATTATTAGGACCCAGGTCCTGTATCTGTGCAATATTGAAAGACAGTGGTAAGAAGACTTTGATGAGAGAACTTAGAAAATAAGGTTGTATTATCTTCAACATAAGTGAAATAGCAAAACAAGACTGAGTGGATTTGGAGGGATTTAACTCTGGCTTAACTCACCTAGTAAACTAGCTGTCTCACTGTAGATAGGTATTTATGCCCTCTTTGAGACTTGGTTTTCTTTTCTGTTAAATGAGGATAATTTTTATGTTCAACCTTTCCTCATCAATCCATGAAACGTTTATTGAAGGCTTATTCGGACACATAATATGCTTGGTGCTGAGGACACAGGAATAGGACACAGTCCCTGTCCCTAAGGAGCTCACTATCTAGTGGCAGATTATTAAACAGATGCTTAGAATAGAGCGTAGTAAGAGCCTAGCAGGGGCAGGCCCTGTTTGAGTGGACCACAAAGGCCTCCTGGGGGAGGTGATATTTAAAGCCAGGGGCTAAAGGATGAATAGTATTTAACCAATTAAAAGTAAGAAAGGAAGTGGGGAGCTGGAAGGGCATTCCAGGAAGAAGAAATTGCATGTGCAAAGGCCGGGAGGTCAGAGGGCACAGTGGTGGGATGATGTGGCTAGCTGAGTGTGACTTTGTTCAGTATCAACTTCATCGTAAAGGCAAGGGGAGACCACTGGGAGATTTTAAGCAAGGGAGTTGGGAGTAATATGATCACATTTGCATTTTAGAAAGAATACTCAGGGTTACATGTAATTGTATGAAGTTTTGTTACAGAGAGCAGTTGGAAGAAGTCTATTCTTTCTTCCTTTTCTTCTTCCTTCTTTCCCTGCCCTCATAAGATGGCTCCCATAAGACGAACTAAGCCCTAAAACATGCCTCTTGTGACGTCTGGCACATAGTAGGTGTCCAATTAGCATATATTCCTCCACTTTCTAAATGTAGCTCCTGAAATAGAAATCCCTTGGCATTAAGCACAAGTTAGGGCAAAATCTTTAGGGTGAGGGTGTGGCTGTTGGTATCTTCTGGCTGGTGTTTGGGTATAGCCAACAGGATTTAGGTCAGAGGAAGTGCCCCAGACAGTTCAGCCTCCACCAGTCATCTGAGGTTTCAGGGAAGGCAGGTGAAGGTCACAATATCCTCCCATTTCAGAAGGCCACCTCTCCCCAGAGACTTGGTCTCGAAAATTTACCAGACACAGGCCATAGGGTTAATTTGTCTGGGTCTACTCTATCATCTGTAAAATGGGTATGAGGTTAGCTGTGCTGCCAACCATATGGGGTTGTCCTAAGGATGGGAAGAGTGTGAACCACAACAAAATAATACAATTGATTACATTCATTAATGCCTACCTTGGGCTAGGCCTTGTTCTATGAGGCAGGTATTATCATTATCCCTATTTTACAGATAGAGAAATGAGGGTCAGAGAGATTATGTGAATCACCCATGGCACAGAGTAAGTGGCTGTAGCCAGAGCCCTGGCATTTTAGCCACCACACCATGACGGCATGATTTGCTTTCCCTTGAAAATCACCAGCTGCTTCCTGAGCTCCTAGCATGATGCAGGTATTCCAGAAATGTGAAGGAAAGGGGCAGTGTCTTAAATCTGAGGAAGTCTTTCCAGATCTACCCCCCCACAGCCCCCCAACTCAGGGTCTTCTCTGGGAAATGGCTCATGGCCTCCCATTAAATCCCATTAAAATGACCTGTTACCTGTCTGACTCCTCACTAGGCTGGGAATCCTGAGGGCAGGGACTGTGTCTGGGTCATGGTGTTGTCCCCAGAACCCAGTGCAGTGGCTGGCACTCAGTAAGTACTTGTGAATAAATTCCTTCGGTCACTTGTCTGAATGTTTTGCCCAAGCTGTCCTCTTGGCCAGGAGGTGTAAAGCAAAGAAGCTGGGGCTTCCAGAAAGTCCTCCAAGATCGGTGAGCGCGTGCATGATGGAGTCCCAGCGAGAGGTCAGTGTGCTGGCCCTGGGGCAAGCCTGTCTCTGGCTTCCCACACCCCCTCACTGCAGGATAGACCTACAGTGGGGTGGCCCCATTCCACCCAGTCTACTTTCCCCATGGGATCTGGTGCTGACACGTGTTGTGTGAGGACCCCTAAGGATCTGCTGGGTGGTCCCACTGTAGGTGCCTGGTGGCTTGAGTTGGGCCCACCTGGCTGATTGGGGCTGGCCGACAGACAGGTCGCAGGAGAACCAGAACTATCCTCAGGCACATTGAGCAACCGGCTTCCCTTCCTCGCCCCTGGCAGGAGCTGGGCCAGGGAAAGTGAAGAAACCAGTTTGGAACTGCAGGGGGGTGGGCGTGGGTGGCGCCCTGCTGGGAAAGGGGTGGCTGGACCAGTTTCCTCCGCTCACGGACCGGATGCGGGCGCAGGGACTCACTCGGGCGGAGGCAGGAGAAACGCGTGCCCTGGGCTCACCTGTACGTCTTTCAGGGCGACGCTGGCTTTGGCAATGCGGTGACTAGGGGCTCTGGGTCAGCGGTCGCTGGGCGTGTGACTTCCGGCTGCTAAGTCAGGCGAGAGGACCGGGCGGCGGCGAACTAGCTGACGGGTAGAAATGGAAGAGGCTTCGGCCATCCAGCGGGCGGGCGAAGGCCTCGGAGGGGACGGGCAGCGCCTGGAGACAGATGGGCAGGCCCATGGCTCTCCTGGCCTCGCCACCGCTCGTCCTCTGCCTCACCCTGCGCCGCCTCGGGGGCCAGGACCCGGGACAGGCTTGCGTTTGAATCCAGGCTGTTCCACCCCCAGACCTCTGCATTCTTGGGCACGTCACTGCCATCTGACCCAGGGTTTCCCCGGACGAAAAATGGGAGTGCCGTGCCTACCCCAAAGCGTCGTGGGAGTGGAAGTCCATGCAATAACCTAGGGGAGGTGCCTGGCACATAACAGGTGCTCAGTAAAGCCTGTCCCTTTCCCTCCTCTGTTTAGCAGCCCGCTCTCACTCCAGCCCCTGGCGTCGCGCCCCAAGGGCGGCCCTGGGTCGGCGGGTCTGGGAGGCAGGAGGTCTGGCCTGGCCTAGGGTAACTCATCTGAATCTTCTCAGCCTCAGTTTGCCCTGCAGACGAGACGGTGGGATGGGCGAGTGCGCGGACTCCGACGGCCCCACGTGGACTGTGTTTCTGTGACCCTAGGAGGGAAGTGCAGTGAATTCTTCCCTTCGCGTGTTTATTTATTCACAGATTCCGGTCCGGCGAAAGCTGCCTCTCGTAGCCTCCCCCAGTGGCCCGCCGGCGTTTCGTCCATACAAGGCCAGCCTCCGCTGGCTGCTCTTTGTGTAAACAGAGCCGCGTCCTCCCGCCCGCAGGTCGCCGCAGGTCTCGCCCGCAGCGCCGGCCCGCCCGCGGGGGAGGCGGAACCGGTGCGCCCGCCGCGCATGCGCGCGAGGCTGGGAGCCGGCCACACCCGGGCTCGGCCAGGCTGGGACTCCGGCCGAAAGGAGCGGAGGAAGGAACGCAGGCCCTGACCGTCAGGGTGCCCGCTCACTAGCACCCTTATCCTTTGGTTCCCCAGCACGTGGCAGGCCCTAGACAAACCGCAGCCCTGCGGGCAGCATTCATTCTTCCCATTTTATGGACAGGAGACTGAGGCTCGGCAAGGTTAAATGAGTTGACCAGGGTGCCTCAGGCAAAAAACAGCAGAACAAGAAATCCTAAACCAGTGTGTCTGGTTGCAAAACCCCGCTTTCTCCCCACCGCACCTGTCGGCAGTGAGTTTGTAAAGCTGCTAAAGGGGAGAAGTAAAGTATGCACGTCCGCGAGTCGCAGACCGACAGACCAAGGGGAGCGGAAAGCCACGCTCCAGCGCTTCCTTCGGTGTGTCAAACCGGGACTCGAACGGCAGGATGAACCGCAGGCTAACTTTCCCGGTGACAATTTCACTCTCTTTTAAGTTGCAAAGTATAGATTCTTATGAAAACAAATAGTAATGGGGAAGGCTATAAAAATCTCAAAATTATTTTAGATGGAAACAGGAGACTTCAAAGAAATTTCGAGCTGTTTCCACACCCTTCCCTGGATTGTGCCTAAACATTCTTGAGGGCAGTGCACAGACGGGTAAACTGAGGCCCGGCGGGAGGAGAACAGAGATCTCCCGGCTCGGCTGTGGGCCTGGGTGCTTTCCGCTGGCGTAGGAGGTCCCGCGTGCCACTAGGCTTCCTCGGTCTGCTGCTACTGCAGACCTCTGTCACTCGGCCGGGCGAGCGCGGGCGATTCTGAGTAACCGCGAGCTCAGGCGGCGCGGCTGGGGCTGAGTGCGAACGCGACGCGCGGGCGCCCGGCTCGGGAGGGCGGCGGGCGCGGCCCCGCCGGGGTTCCCTCGGTGCTTCCTGCGCGAGCTCCTCCCCGCTGTCCCGCGGGGCGCCCAGTGCCAGCGCGCGGGCCACGCCCCTGCTCCGGGCCAGCTGCCCCCACCGGGGCCCCACGGCCGACTGGAGCCCCAGGAGCAATCCCCACTGCCAGCAGGGCGTAGGAGTGCGCGCCGGGTTTGCAGGCCGGCCAGCCGCGTTTCAGGTTCTAGGGGCCAGCGGCCCTCTCCTGCGTGCGGTGGGCAGCCAGGTTCTCTGGCCAGGGTTCAAATGTGCACCTGACGTTTGCTAACTGTACGGCCTTGAGAAAATTGCTTAACCTCTTTCGGTCTCAGTTTCTGCATCTGTAAACTGGGGGTTAGCAACGCTTACCTCATATAATTGTTGTGGGAAGTAAATGTGTACCTACCTGTAAAGGCCTGGGACACTTAAGAAAATCTAATTAAATGCTATGTTTTGCTATTATTGTTAGGCAGGCCTGGGTAGGAATCCCAGTTAGGCCAATTAAGAACTGGATAACCAGGCAGGTGAACTTTCCCCGGTTTCCCCACCTGGAAAAGAGAGCTTCATTGCACTTTACATCATAGGGTGGTGGTGAGGATAGATTGAGCTCTATCCTCAATGATGCTTGCAACCTTCACTGCTTGCCAGCACTTCCTTAAGCACTTTACACTTATTAGTGCATTTAATTCTGCAATTACAGTGTGAGGGAGGTATTATGAGTGTCCCTTTTCACAAGTAGGAAATTGAGGCACAAAGAGGTTAAGTGACTTACCTAAGGTCACACTGCTACTAAGAAGGAAGATTTGAATCCACAAAATCTGGCTCCCTACTCCTTGTTCCAATCCCTGCAGGGTGCATCAGGCACTATGCTAGGCATTGGGGATGCAGCCAGGAATGACACCACACACGGTCACCTCCTCAACAAAGATGGCACCTCCTTTCTGAGTTTATTGCCCTTCCTTACATATGACTAAGCTTTGCATGCACTTTCTTATATTTTATATACTAAGGCACTTCACACATAGTAGGTATTCAATATTGTTAGTTTCCCTCTTCCTGTATTTTTTTGGGTCCAATTACAAGTGCTCCCGTGGAGCTTTGTAGGTTAGGTGTTTTAGTCAGGTGATAGAGCACTTGGTATCCAGTAGGTGCTCCATACACCTGAGTTCCCTCTTCCCTGTACTTAGTGATCTTCCAGTTAAATAGATGAAAACAGCTCATGCTTAAGGTTTAGACCTTTTAATAATAATAATTGCTTCTGCCTCTGAGAATTACTGTGGGGTTCCCAGAACTGAGGGTGAATTTACTGTATTTATCACTTAATCATTTCCAAAACCGCTTATGACTACAGCATCTTTAGTCCAAGGCCTAGAATTATTCCTCTCTTACCCTCCCTCTTTGGGGTCTCTGTGATAATTCTTGCTGTAAATGGCTAAAGCTATTAAATATCGAATGTAGATCTTCCTCCATGCAAGTGTAAGCTGTCGTTACATTCATTGCTTAAATGTTATGATCACTTCAAGCTTGGCTTTTGCATTTGATACCTTGAGTTAAATGTGGAAAGTAAGGGGGAAAACAGTATAATGGTTGGAAATAAAAACGTGCAGTGGGTGTATTTCCAAAGTAATAAAAAGCCACTTTAAATTTTAAAAGATTTTAAACCTTGTGTGGTTCCAGGCAGGACACCCTGAGTTCCTATCATTCATCATGGCTGTATTCTGAGGGTCAAAACCATCCTGAGGTAATTTAGTAAACTCAGCTGACAACAAAATATTAAATCTCCAATTTCTCCTTGTAAATGAGATAGCTGAGGAGAACACCCCGTACATGGGAGGTATTTGTAGGGAAGCTATTATGGTCAGGGACAGGGATACAAAGGGAACAGTCAAAGACATTATACTCAGCTGACATTTATTGAGTACCTACTATGTGCCAGTTGCTTGCAAGTCTGTTATTTCAAATAAACTTCACAATTAGTATACAAATCCTGTACATATTTTCAATATATAGATCCTGTACATGTTTTGTTAGACTTATGCAGAAGTATCTAATTTTGTTTGGAGCAAAGTAAATATAATATATATGTTTTTTAAAATAAAACAACCTCACAATTAGCCTGTGAGGAATATATTGTATTATAGAAGAGGAAGCTGACAGTCCTAGAAGTTCATTAACTTGCCCAGGGAGTAAGTGGTAGAGTCTGAGTTGAAATTTGGGTCTTCTGACTCTAAGATCAGCATCTGATTCATTGCACCTCTCTGCTTTTTCCAGATGTCGGTCATCTCAGAGGTGGCGGTGAGAACCAGAGGGCACTTCAAGATCACCTCAGCCAAGGCTTCTCTACCTCTTTTATAATCCAAGTCATTCTTAATAAACACAAAAACCGCACACCCTCGTTTAATGAGTTTCAAATTCAAAATAAATGAAGTATCATGATTCAAAACTAATCAAAGCAAGGGGACATTTTGAGTATTTTGTTTTTAAACAAAACAAGTCTCCCCAGAGCTTCTGGGTCCCGCTCCACACCTCCACTGACTCCCTCAGAGAGCTGCCGACCTTCTGCCTCCTCTTCCTCATCATTGGCACTGGGGGGGGGGGTTGAGCCCAGAGAGCACTGCCTAGCTGGTGACCGGGTCCGCTCTTGAACTCAGGTCTGCCTGGCTGCTATATTTTGCGCCCTGCTTACCTCTCAGCCTGGTCTCTCACCTTGCTGTAGCTCAGGGTCCACACTTCAGACTGACTTTATCACCTCTAGTTCCCAGAATGTGGCATCCTCCAGCCAGGCCTTCGCTCAGGCTGGTCCTGTGCATGGAGTGGCCTCGCTGGCTCTCCTCCCTTTGCCAGGTGGACCCCTGTTTGGCAGGATTTAGCTGAAATGCAGCTTCCTCCAGGGAGCTTTCTCTGGACTCCTACCTATGTTCAAATGAAGGGGACTGATTCCCCTTGTCCATGTAGAATTATCCTTTGGCACTTGCTAACACTCTAATGTTGTTTACAAGTCTCTCTCTCAATCATCTATGGGCTCTCACCTTTGGGCATCTCACCACTGCCTCTGTCGAACTAATAGTGGTTGCAGTGGACCCACATATTTTTATTCTTTCAAGAGTGCCTGGCATTTAGCAAGCACTCAGTAAATGTGTATGGAATACACACACACACACACACACACACACACACACACACACACACAATGCCACTGTCAGATTATTTCATTTTAATAGCCTTGTTACAGGCTGTAAACTCTCGTGGACAACTGTCCTCCGTTGGAACAACAGGGAGCCACTGCATGTTTTTGAGGTAGAGAGTTCCTTGACCCCACAAATAACATAGAGACTTCCTCATGGGATTAAAGGTGCAGCTTTCCTAGTTTTCAAGCTTTTGCTGTCTTTCTCTGGAAAGGTTTGATTTCATAAATAAGAGGCTGGGCAGGAGAAGTTTTATTCCTTCATTTGTGGTTTACTCAAAAAATGTATCAAGTGCCTGATGTGGGCACCATGGATATAACAGTGAACGAGGCAGACAAAATATCTCCTGTCATGGAGTTTACATTCTCCTGAAAGAGGAAAACAATAAGTAAGTAAACAAGAAATATGTCAGTTTGGATAGTAAAAAATATTAATGGTATGCAGAAAGATAAAAACTATAAAAGACAGATGAGTGAGGGATGGACAGATCAATTTAGATGTCTAAGTCAGGAAAGATGACTTGAGGAAGTGGCCTTGGGAGCCCCAAATGCAGTGAGAGAGGGAGCCGGCTGAAGGTCTGGAGGAAGTGTATTCCAAGCAGATAGAACAGCAAGTGCAAAGGCCCTGAGGTGAGAACAAGGTGGGCAGTTAGAGGAACAGCAAGGTGACTGAAATGACACCATGGACAGTGACTAGGGTCGATCCCAGGTTGCTTCCCACAGCAACTGCTGGGGTCAGATGATAATTTGGCAGGAGTGATAAAAGCAGCCGATGCAGCTGGTTCTAAGTTCAGCCCGGCTGTGAATGAGTGAATGCATGGAGCACGGGCTCCACTGGAGTATTCAGCCAGGAAATTGGGCTGTGTAACTTGATCAAACTCTTGCTTTTGGTCAGCAACAAAATGATGGCTTATGGAATGAAATATAAGAACAATATGATGAAATGATCAAAAGAGAATAAAACTAGAGTGAGTTTTTAAATATAAAATAGGTGTCATTTTGGTGTTTATTCCTTTAAAGGAATCTGTTGAATCCATCCTAAGATTGTTTGAACTGAAATGTAAAAGTGACTTTCACTCTAGTTTGGGGGCTGGCACTAAGAGGCCTCTTGCAGATAGGGTGGCTTCAGCTCGGTTCAGCTGGGGTGCTCTGGAGTGTGGGCCACAGCTCAGAGTCATCCCCACTCAAGGCTGGGGAGCCACAGCTCCTGACAGTCCTCCCGAGAGCAGCTGCTGGCACTGGCCATGGAAGGCACAGCAGAGCTCCCCTGCTTCCCCAAATGGTACAGAGGAATCCCCCTGACGTCCGAGTGGAACAATGACATTATCTGATGCAATAAGGCAGAATCAAAGGGGATGAACTGGAGATTCTCTTGCCTCAGGGCTCCCTCATGCCTTATATGATTATAGGACCCAGGACAGTTACAGGCTAGCCAGGGCCTCTTGGCCTTGCTCTTTCTCAGTTTTCAGAATAAATAAATACGCAATTTACTCTAAAGGGGCAGGGAAGCAGTGTGAAGGCAGGATGACCTAGATTCAGATTCTGGCTTCCTTTTCAGCTCTGTGGGAAGCTGTGTGACCTTTGGCACATTGCTTAACCTCTCTGGGCCTCAGGTTTCTCTCCTGGAACACTTAATAGTTCCCAGGCAGAGACTTTTCCCACCATACTGTCTGTCTTTCTGCAATGTCCCTGAAATAATGAAGATGATAATTTCTGTTTTTTTCAGCACCAAACTAATTCTGGTTGGACAGTGCGTAATTGATAGTCTTGCTTTGTAAGTCATTCAGCCTTTACTTTGCTTGTTTTATTTCTTGTAATTGTAGGGTCTTGGTACAGAAACCTTGAAATTCATTTGCAGAAGAGCAGTTTTATACCTTTCATTAGAATTGGAGGGGAGCTTTCAAAAAGGGTGGGAAAAGGGAGAAATGTATAATCCATGTTTATTTAAGATGCAATTAATTATGTTGGGGGTAAGGTCGACATTTGATCATTCTTTGCCTTTCATTGGTAAAGCAGAATTGAGTGTCTAAGACAGTCGCATTTTAATATCAAGATCTGGTGGTGGCATTAGTGGGAGATCTGAGAGCTATTAAGGGGAGGGGGACCTTTTAGGGACAGGGCCATCGCCAAGTGATTGGCAACCCTGCTCAAGTTTGGTGCTGAATAAGTAGATAATTTGTTTCATGTCATATGATAGAGGGGAAAAGTGTGTGCTCATCCTAGAGCCTGAGGTCTAGTCCAAGTTCCACCACTTGAGTATGTCCCTTACTCTCCCTGAATCCCATTTGTTTGTTGGCAAAATAGGGAGAGTCAGGTTTGCCCAGCCTGCCTCTTTGGGTCGTCTTAAGACTTAGATGCAGAGCAAATGTACTTGTTTATTACATGTGATAATGCACGGGGTAACTGGGCTAACGTCACTCCAGACCCTGCATTTCACTACAGTGATCTCTGGAAAATCATGTAACATTACTAAAGCCTCCATATTTTCATTGGTAAATGGAAATAATCTCTGTCTTGCTAAATTCGTAAGGATCCAATGAGATAAGGGATGACAAAGCATCTTGTAAATTGTAAAGCACCAAAAACAACAAAAAGGAATCATTATTTTTGTCTTCCTTGTCCTATTGGTCATTATTATGTTCCCTAGCCCCCAGAAGACCTCATGGGTGGCCTTGCTCTCCCCTCGCATCCGGGTGCTGCCGTGGCCAGGGCGCAGGCTTCTGAGTCGGAGGGGCCTCTGCTTAAATCCCTGCTACCAGCTGCCATGTGAACCTGGCGAGTCACCTACCGGTCTGAGCACTATCTGAGAACGCAGCACAGTGAGATCCCTTTCAGAGGTGTTTGTGGTAAGACTCAAGCAGGAGAGCATGTGCTTGGTATCCAAAACAGCATCTGGTGTAAGTTCAATCAGTGCTAATTACTTCTCTTGCCAACTCTCCTCCCTACTTGGATCTTCAGGCAGTGATCGTTGGGGTTTCGTGTGTTTTATTCCTAAAACTACTTGTCACATGCTAAACTGAATCATGCTGAGTTACAGGAGTTGCCTTCTCCATTAGGCTGTGAACTCCTTAAGAAAAGGATGTGTGGCTTGCACTTCTAGCCCCGGGTGCTGAGTAGACATGCTGCTCTAAGCTCAGGGCTCAGGGCTCACAGAGGGGAGGTGGTGAGCACAGAATGAACATAATCTCTGAGCTACACAGATCTGGGTTTGAATTTCCTTCTGATACTTCCTTGTGGTAGGACCCTAGACAAATCACTAATGACTTGGAGACTCAGTTTCTTCATCTGACAACCAAATAGAGATGCATAGATGCATATGTTTAAGGGTTGTTGGGAAGGGTAGAGGTAATGCTTGTAAAATGGCAAGCATGCTGCCTGGCACATAGTGTGTCTTAGTGAGTAACTGTTGACTTACTAAAGGCTCCACCCAATGTTCCATTCTATCACTGATAGCACGGTCTTTTCCTGGAGAGCAGCAATTGAGAAGTGTCCACAAGAGTGGCATACCAAGTGGTGGGAGGGAGGGATATTTGCCCTGGTGGGGGAGAATATTTTATCCCTGACATTGTTCAGAACTGCCTGCATGTGGTGACAAGTAACAAAAGACTGACTTATTAAATTTCATTTTAATTTTTTTAGATATGCTGCAGAAAATGCACTCCCTTCTAATTGGCCCCCCAGGTGGACTGCTCCCTACCTCCCACCCTTGGTTCGCCATGGCTCACAGGCAGGGGTGGGGGTAGGGTGGGGCAGATGGGGTGCTGTGATTATAAGGCAGTGAGATAACTGCAAGTGGAGATGGAAGAGGCCTGAAGCCAAAGCCACCCTCTCACCCTGGTGTGGGGGCCAGGATTTGGGGACATCACTGCCAGGATAGACTCACAGGGAGGAATCTTTCAACTGGTCTTGCAGGAAGCACAGGACCATGCCAAACAGGGAGGAGGAAGGGGCCTGCCAGGCACAGAGGTGTCACACTGCATACCATATTCTGAGAACCTTAAGTTGGAGGGTTTGGTTGGGGCAGAACCAACAGGGTACATTACTTATATTTAAAAATCTCCTGGGGAATGACTTTGAATTCCCACTTTGTTGCAGGTTCTGAAAAAGATTCCAGCCCGCCCATCTGTTGTTCTCTGAGTCCAGTGCTTGGTGGAACCCTGTCTTGGCCCACAGCCATTAGGATATTTCTCAGGGAAAGCCCTTGGACCAATAAGTCTATTTATTCTTTTCTTTGGAAACTATGGTGCTGTCTGTGAAAACAAA